GTTTAGGGTTTAGGGTCCAATGTAGTTCCTTTTTGGGTTTGGTATGGTTTTTGGGTTAGGGTTCTCATTAGGACTACCAAAAAGGTACTACATTGGAGGGTCTAGGTAGGGAACATTGAAGGGGTTTAGTAAGCCGGTTTAGGGTTCAGCTCAGGGTTTAGGGTTTAGGGTTTAGGGTTTAGTTTGGGGTTAAGTTTAGGGTTTAGGGCTTCGGTTTAATGTCCTGGTCATAAAGTCTATATTGGTTTCGGGTTCCCTTATGATAAAGGTTATAGCATGCAGTACATTGGGGTTGATATGCCCCCCTTGTGGAAACTGCCAGGTGGTGGAGCGGGATGCCTTGGCGGAGAAGTGCGGCCAAGATGGACTGCTTCGTTTGTCCTTCCAGCTACCCAGTGGTGTATGGGTAGCCACAAGCAGCATCAATTTGGCTAAGAAGACTTATGAGGTCAAAGAGGGTGAGCCTCCTCCACCGGTGGTGCTGAAGGATTTCCTGAAGTTAAAGGCTCTGCGGCAAGAGAATGGTGAGAAGCTGAATTTCGACCTATGCTTTGACATCACCAGCGACCTCAGTGGCCTCCGTGCCCTGCAGAAGTGGCTAAACCGCGGCCTGCAGATTAAGCTATGGTACCTCCCCCCAAAGCCGCCCCCTACGCCCGAGACCGTTGCGGAGGCCGAGGCTTCCGCGGACGCCACGGCGGAGGCTCCGGAGGGTACAGAAGCTGGTGCTGAGGCAGAGCCTGGCGAAGGCTGCGCCGGACCTCCAGCTACTGAAGCTCCTGCGGCTCCTTTTCCCATTTAGGGTTTAGGGTTTAGGGTTTAGGGATTATATAGGGTTTAGGGTTTCCCAAAATTAGGGGTACCTACTATTATGGAGAATCAAATGGAGAAGAAAATGGAAAATGAAATGGACACTGGGATTATATAGGGGATTCTATAGGGTTTAGGGCTTCCCAAAATTAGGGGTGCCTTTTTTGATGGCCCCTATAATAGGGACTGTGTTATTTTGGTGTCAAAACTGGAGTCCCCCTAAGGACATTGCCATTTGCGTGGGCGGCTGCGTGGTGCCCTTGGCCAGCATGTTCCAGCGGGCCTGTGACAAGGTGATGGTTTCCCAAAATTAGGGTAC